TATATATATATAAAACAGATGTTTATTGAATGTTTATCAACTGCCAGGTGCTATGTTTATTATAAGGATCTCTGGTGGCATAGTGCCTAAGCATTTGACTACTAACCAAGCTAGCAGTTTAAACCCACCACCTGCTCCATGGAAAGAAGATGGGGCAATCTACTTGCATGAAGATTTACCACCTTGGAAAACCAATGAGGGTTACTATGAGTTGGAATCGGTTCAATGGCAGTGAATTGGTTTGGGTTTGAGTGTTTATTATAATCACAGGTTTTATCTCATTTAATGATGTCTGAGCATAGTGCTTAAGGCATTTGATGCTAACCAGAAGGCTGGTGGTTCAAACGCACCAGTCACTCCTCGAAAGAAAGATTGGGCAACCTGGTTCTGTAGAGATACCATCTCAGAAACCCAAAGAGGGGTCGCTATGAGTCAGACTTGACTCAACAGCAGTGAGAATGGAACATTGAAGGAGTTTTGGTGGTGCAGACTAGGAAGAAAAACCTGGTTATTGACTTCTGAAAATCAGTCATTAAAAACCCCATGGTTCACTACAGAATATTATCTGCTATAGTGCTAGAAGATGAACCTCTTAGATTTAAATGCACTCAAAATACACAATGGCTGAAATAATAGATTTGAGCATTGTAAAGATGGGGCTTTGTTGTTATTGTTGTTGTTATTTGCCATTGAGTCAGACCCAACTCATAGCGACCTCTCCTTGGGTTTCCGTGGCAGTATCACTATGGAAGTAGATTGCCCAACCTTCCTTCCAAAGATGGGGCAGGACCAAGCAATTCTGTGGCACATAGGGCCGCCATGAGTTGTAGCAACTCCACAGTAACTAATCATAGCTAGATGATACATAGGTAGGTAGGTAGGTAGATAGGATTTTGAGAAACCAATTTTTGTTATCACTGCATCAAGTCATTTTTTGTCAAATATTGTTAGTAAGGGGGAAAAAAGGTAGGTATTACTTGCCTGAATCATTGTTCTCTGTCTTTAAGACTTGTATCTGCACTTACAAATACATGGTGCTGAATCTGACTTTAAATTTAAGGGAATATTAAATCTACTTGGAAAACTGAAAATACTGGAGGAATTGGAATGTCCTTCTGTCTCTATTTCTTCTCAAACAATCCATTT